GACTCTGGGGCAAGTGATGCTCTGTCATCTTGGTGCTTGGGGGGGGGGGTCAACAGTGGGAGGGCTTCTAATGTCCTGGCCCCACTCATGGACCTCCTGATGGCACTGGTATTTCTGGCCACTGTGTGATACAGAGTGTTGGACTGGATGGGACTTTGGCCTGATCCAACATTGGCATCTCTTATGTTCTTATGTTCTTAATGTTATGGACTCTGCCCAAAAGACACCCACAACATTCAATATATTGCTATAGAAGGCTTATATTCTTTTAGGTTTTATAGAGTATAGCTTAAAGCACTATGAAATTTTTGAGAACAGAGATTATGGTGGGATGGGGAAAAAACATGGATATCATGTGCAATGGTAGTTTTCCAGTTCCACTCCCAAGTCTTTCAGAAATCCTCTACTCACAGCATCAGAATCTCTAAATGTGGAAAGTTTTCTTTATGTTAAGTGTGATCCCCAACGATAATTCAAATTTTCGCATTGTAAAAAACTGTTGTTGTTGTTCAGTCGCATGGTTGAGTCCGACTCTTCACGATCCCATGGACCACATCACGTCAGGCCTTCCTATCCTCTGTTGTCCTCCAGAGTTTGCTTAACTTGTTCATTGCATCAATAACACTATCTAACCATCGCATCCTTTGCAATCCCCTTCCTCTTTTAACTTCAATCTTTCCTAACATCAGGGTCATCTCCAGTGAATGCTCCCTTCTCATTTGGTGGCCAAAGTATTTCAGCTTCAGTATTCAGTCTTCCAGGGAACAGTCAGGGTTGATTTCTTTTAGGATTGACTGATTTGATTTCCTTGCAGACCAAGGGAATCTCAAGAGTCTTCTCCAGCATCATAATTCCAAAGCATCCATTCTTCGACGCTTAGCCTTCCTTATGGTCCAACTCTCGCAGCCATACATTACTACAGGGAATACCATTGCTTTGACCATACGTACTTTGTGAGGCAGGGTGATGTCTCTACTTTTTATTATGCTGTCTAGGTTTGCCATAGCTTTCCTTCCAAGGAGCAGGCGTCTTTTAATTTCATGGCTGCAGTCACCGTCTGCAGTGATCTTGGATCCCAGCAACGTGAAGTCTGTCACTGCTTCCATGACTTCCCCTTCTATTTTCCAAGGAGTGATGGGGCGAGATGCCCTGATCTTAGGTTTTTTTGATGTTGAGTTTCAAGCCACCTTTTGTGCTCTCCTCTTTCACTCTCAGCAAGAGGCTCTTTAGGTCTTCCCTCACTTTCTGCCATTAGAGTGGTATCGTCTGAATACCTGAGGTTGCTGATGTTTCCCACCGCAATCTTAATTCCAGTTTGTGATTCATCCAGGCCAGCATTTTGCATGATGTACTCTGGATATAAATTAAATAAGCAGGGTGACAATATACATCCTTGTCGTACTCCTTTTCCTATTCTAAACCAATCAGTTGTTCCATATCTGGTTCTAACTGTCACTTCTTAACCCTTATACAAGTTTCTCAGGAGACATGTGAGGTGGTCTGGTACTCCCATCTCTTTAAGGACTTGCCACAGTTTGTTGTGATCCACACAATCAAAGGCTTTAGCGTAGTCAATGAAGCAGAAGGAGATGTTTTTCTGGTACTCCCTTGCTTTCTCCATAATCCAGCGAATGTTGGCAATTTGATCTCTAGTTCCTCTACCTCTTCGAAACCCAGCTTGTACTTCTGGCAGTTTTCTATCCACGTACTGCTGAAGCCTAGCTTGTAGGATCTTGAGCATGACCTTGCTAGGATGTGAAATGAGTGCAATTGTGTGATAGTTTGAACATTCCTTGGCATTGCCCTTCTTTGGGATTGGAATGTAAACTGACCTTTTCCAATCCTGTGGCCACTGTTGCGTTTTCCAAATTTGTTGGCATATGGAGTGCAGCACTTTAACAGCATCATCTTTTAATATTTAAAAGACTTTGAATAGCTCAGCTGGGATACCATCACCTCTCCTAGCTTTATTGTTAGTAATGTTTTCTAAGGCCCATTTGACTTTGCACTCCAGGATGTCTGGCTTGAGGTCAGTGATCACACCCTCGTGGTTGTCAAGGACACTGAGGTCCTTCTTGTATAGTTCTTCTGTGTATTCTTGCCATCTCTTCCTGTTAGGTCCCTACCATTTTTGTGCTTTATCATGGCCAGCTTTGCACGGAACATCCCCTTGATTTCTCCAATTTTCTTGAAGAGATCTCTAGTCCTTCCCATTCTATTGTTTTCCTCTATTACTTTTGTTTTCCTCTATTACTTTGCATTGTTCATTCAGGAAAGCTTCCTTATCTCTCCTTGCTGTTCTCTGTAAATCTGCATTCAATTGGGTAAATCTTTCCTTTTCACCTTTGCCTTTCATTTTCCTTCTTTCCTCTGCTATTTGTAAAGCCTCATCAGACAGCCACTTGGCTTTCTTGCATTTCTTTTTCTTTGGGATGGTGCTGATTGCTGCCTCCTGTACAATGTCACAAACCTCTGTCCATAGTTCTTCAGGCACTCTGTCTATCAAATCTAGTCCCTTAAACCTATTCTTCACCTCCACTGTATATTCATCAGGGATGTGATCTAGGTCAAACCTGAATGGCCTAGTGGTTTTCCCAACTTTCCTCAGTTTAAGCCTGAATTCTGCAATGATTAGCTAATGATCAGAGCCACAGTGAGCACCAGGTCTTCTTTTTACTGACTGTATAGAATTTCTCCATCTTTGACTGCAAATGATATAATCAATCTTATTTCAGTGTTTCCCATCTGGTGATGTCCATGTGTAGAGTCACCTTTTAGGTTGTTGGAAGAGGGTGTTTGCTATGACCAGTGTGTTCTCTTGACAAAACTCTGTTAGCCTATGCCCGGCTTAATTTTGTTCTCCAAGGCCAAACTTGTCCTTTATTCTGTTTACCTTTTGACTTCGTACTTCAGCATTCCAGTCCCCTGTGATGATAAGGACATCTGTTTTTGGTATTAGTTCTAGGAGGTGTTGTTGGTCTTCATAGAACCGGTGCACTTCCGCCTCTTCTGCGTCAGTGGTTGGGGCATAGACTTGGATTACTGTGATGCTGAATGGTTTGCCTTGGGTTTGGACCAAGATCATTCTGTTGTTCTTGAGACTGTATGCCATTACTGTCTTTCTCATTCTCTTGTTGACTATAAAGGCCACACCATTTTTTCTATGGGATTCTTGGCCACAGTAGTAGATCTAATGGTCCTCTGAGTTAAATTTGCCCATTCCCATACACTTCACTCCTATCCACTCCATTCCCGTCCAAAAATGCAAACCATTATTTGGCTGCGGTCACACGGAACATTAGCCACGCAAGAGAGACAGAAGACAGGCGGATTTTCCGGGCACGATCTCACCGGCACATCTGGGAAGCGTAGCGCTTCCGTGGCACAACTGAGGCTTCCCGCCGAAAACGTGCAGCAAAAAACTAGTACCTCGGAGGTACTAGTTTCCGGAAACCGCGGGGCAAGGGCGGGCGTCTGATCGCGTTTCTGGTGGCATCCGGTGCCCGCCCATGTCTCCTTGCGAAAAACGGTTTTCGTTTTTCCAAGTCTCCGTGGAGACTTGCGCATTTGTCGTGTACACAAAAAAAGAAAACCAGTTAGCCGCACCGCACGCTTCTTCGTTGCGTGCAGGTGTGTCCTGTGATCGGCACCTCTCCCTACCCACGGAACCTCCACGGTACCTCCACAGGACCTCCACAGGAGGTCTGATCGCTTAACCGCGCATTAGTTTGTTCCAGGGCAAACAGCCACGCTCCCCCCCCCCGCAGTTTCCTGCCCGCCTTTATTGATTATATTCTGCAACAATTTATAGAGATAAGGGATAAATATTAATGGTCACTGTAACGATTCCATGTTTTACTGTGTGTGTGTGTTTAAAAGTTGGTTGGCATGGCTGTGTGAGGATAATCTAGTGTGATGGACTCAGGCAAGTGATATGATTGGTGAGTGACAGAGAGGGGGAGGGGTTTTGGAATGGATGCTGTGTGGATGATTGGAATGTCTATCTGGTGTGTCTGTTAGGTATGACAGTTGAGTAAAACAGTTAGTCAGAGCAGAGTGTGCTGTGAAAAGCAGTTGATATGAGTTTTGTCCTGAGGTCTCTGTGTGAGAAGTTCCTGTGTGAAATATAAGAGTAAAAGTCTCTGTTTTAAGCAGACGGTTAAGTTCTGTGTTATAAGAGTTACAATTGAAAGCTGAGAGTCTAAGAAGAGTACAGTGAAAAGTGTTACAAGGTTGCTTTAACCTCCCTGTCAGTAAAAGAGAAGCTTGTGAGAGACACCAAGCATTTGTTCAAATCCTTCCCAGTACTGTTTACATTGTTTACCCTCGTATTTATGTTTTCTTTAAATAAATCCTAATTCCTTCAAGTATACCAGCTCAGCAAATAATCCTTCCTCAGACCACATAGACCTTCATGAATGCCTAAGACCCATGGTACACCTACCCCGTGGAAAATATTATAGGAAAAGGTTTGGGAAAACCTAGATTTCCCTGGTGGCAGCCAGAATACCCTACAGAGTAAAACTGAAAGAACATTTTAAAGTAAAACTAGACCTCCCCAAAAAAGAGGTCGTCACAGTCACATCTAAGGAAACTTTCAAAATAAGAAAGCACAAACAAAATAAGAACCAGGCATGAACTCACAATGTTACAAGGGACAAAGCAAAGCATTATTCTATTAAATGAGGTGTGGATGGCTCAGAGATGATCCCCAACGACTCAAAGAAATTAGCCAGAGATCAGGAGAGCAGAGAAGGAAAGAGATAGCCCAACTTAATGTTATTTCCGAGTAATACGTTATGCAGAACAACATATTTTAAAAAGGCAAATGATAACACTAAGTGTTGACATGTGGAAGGTGCGAGAAGATAATTTAAAACATATATCTTCCAGGATGTTTTAAACTATATACAATTTATATAAATTATATATAAGTCAGACAAATAAAACAGTTGATAGCAATTATAGAGAAGACTGAACAGGGAAAACAGGATACTCACTGTTCCAGGCCTGGGGTATGGAATCCTCCCTTCATATTGAACCCAGTGGTGATCCACACTCTCCTTATGGGCATAATGTCCATTGAAAATTGCTCTGATGTTAGCCATACTGTACACACAAACAGCAGAGCCCTTGAAAACAGAACTGGAAGAAAACAAAGAAGAACTGAAGTTAGTTCAACATAAGCCAGCTAACACCACCATTTATCTCAAAAGACTAGCTAAGGGCCAAACCAGACAATGCACAATTAATGGTTTCTTAAAAAAACAAAACAAAAAAACCTAAAGTAAACTGCAGCAGCCAGAGGCTGCTACATGGAGCAGCAGAGGGGCGGTAGGAGAGGCTGCTTATCTCCTTTCTTCCTGCTATTTATTTCCAAAAGGTCTTCCCACCTCAGATGCTTTGCAACCTGCAGAGGGAAAGGCATTGTCCTTTATAGCAGTTTGGAGGAGGGTGCTTTTCAGAGGACAAATGACAATGTGGGGAAGTGTTAAGCACTGGTAGTCTCCTCACGGCTGTATCATGTTATCTGACCCAAAATTCTACAGCCGGAAGCCACACTCATACTTTCTCTGGCACAGCAAAATGAGCTTCAAGCCACCAGCGACTGGCAGCCTGCCAACTGCTTGAAAGGGGAACCACAGGCACTAGCCCCCAGAAGAGGAATGGTGCTTGCCCACCCACCCCTCGAATGAAACACACACACAAGTAATGGGTTAAACTGGGTATTTATTTATGCATAAGCTCATCTGCCTCAATTATTTCAAATTAAGCATGGGTTACTTTATGCCTGCAAGCAGGCTTCCTCAGGGCAAACCCACCCCGACTCAGAGCCAGGTTTGAAATTCTTCCATACCCCACTCATCACGGCCCGCACGTCAGATGCATAGAGGAGATGTGGGAGCACATCCCAGCCCACGACTGCTAAGCCTTAAAGCTCCCCCAACCCTGAAGAGGCCCCCGCCTGGGCATCCTGGACTGCTAAGCCACTAGGTGCCCAGTTTGAGGACCCCTCCTATTGCTGATATCTAGGGGTGCTTGCCAGCACAAATAACCCCCCCTCAACCCATGCTTTTCTGCTTTCCCAAAATGGACCTAACCAGGTTACCAGGCCTATTTATGCCCTGCCCCCCGGACCATGTGAAGCAGGCAGAAAAGGCTCCCTCCCGGCCAATTTGAGTGAGCCTCAAAAATTCCTGCTTAGCCCCGAAACTGGCGACTGGCTAATCTCACATGGTCTGGCACAGAGGGCGGGGGAGTGGGGAGCTCTTCCTCGACTGGAATGGTTGCTGCCTGGCTGTTGCCCCCTAATTCAGCCAGCCAGTCGCCTCTGATAAGCCAGTGCTCCCATGCTGGGCCAACAGGCTCCGCCGCTCCTCGTGATTCCATTCGAGGATGTGTGGGGGGAGAGCAAAAGCCTGCACTTGCTCATGTGCAAACACCAGTCATCCATCAGCATCAGCACAACACCACAAATCTGATGAGCACAGCTGCAGCAACACAGCATGAGGCTGTTTCTGAATGCATCTGATGTTGATGTTGTGACTACTCACAGCAAAGAAGGAGCTCCAAGACCTTGCCATTGGATACAGGAACAATTTTGCCTGCTGAACTCCCTCTTTCTGGCTGCAGTTGGTTTTTGATTGACTGGAGATTTGTATCTTACTCAGCTGCCTAAGAGTGGGTGTTTATGTGCAGCCTTTGGCAAGAAGATTGCAGCCTAAATCATTGGAACCATTGCTACCAGGAACTCTGGAATTCTGCAGAAGATTAGCAGGGTTCTTCAGTGAACAAGTTAGCAATAGAACAGGAGCTTTCCTGAAAGGCAGCTTGGTCACCATTAGTTTTCTTTCCCTTCAATATAGGCCACTGGGAGCATTCTGGAACATTCTAAATGCAGATGAGGCGAGAACAAGGCCCAATAGATGAGTCAATGTTGTCATCTAAAAGTGTGCTCCACAGGTGCCAACATACTGATGCAGAAAGGCTTCTCTGAATGTAGAATATTGGGAAAGCACTAGTCTAAATTGTTATACATAAAGTCTAAATTTAGAATTGCAATTTTAAAATCAGGATCAGCATCCCCTGGGACACATATGGCCCCATGAGTGATGCTATCTGTACCCCAAAGGCCAAAGGGGGCACTTAGGTTGGTGGCCTCTCTTGTCAAAGGAACCTTCTACCAAAATTAATCATTTGTGGTTTAAATCAGCACCGAAACAGTTCTCCCACCCTCTCTATCACCCTCCATCCATACCCCACACACTTTAAAGGGGTTGTGAGAGGCTAACACTTGATGGATTTAAATTATTGGCTTGTAACCCTCAATGGCCTTGCTGGGGGAAAAAAACATTTTTATTTTAATCTTGAAAAGCAGAAATAGGAAAAGTGATAGCCAATTTAAATTAGTGGATGAGTGTTATGCCTGGACACTGAGACATGAATTCAGAGCTACCACTGGCCAGGTGTCACATTGGCATTTTGCCAATCCTCCACAAAGCAACATTTTAGCTAATGAGCCTGTGAAAACAGTCAGGTACAGCAAATGCTACTTCTTCAATGCTTCTTAGCTGGGGAACAGACTTGAAGTTTGGTCCTATGATACCAAGTGGTTCTTAGTAGGCAACATTAAGGTTTCAACTCTTAGTTCATAGTGCTGTGTAAAGATAAAATACGATTAACTGTAATCAAATCTAAGTCTTAGTAGGTGGCCAAATCTGGATGGGGGTTATTTCAAGGCAGCACCTATTCAATTCATTTGGTTTGGATTAAAAGATCAAAGCCATACCTGGTAGTAGTGAAGACACCATAGACAACAGGATTCCTTTCATCTCTGGTAGGAAGCAAAAATATATCTTCTGTAATGGAGAATATATATTTTTAAAAAATTACGATATTAATCCTTGGAAACAAGTGCAAATCAAGTTCAAATTCATCCATGTCCAAAAGTGGCACCTGCTTATATTTTTTACATCGTACAGGAACTGAACAGGTATGGGAAAAGGCAGTGTGTAAATGCCTTCAATGAATATTTATTTATTTATTTATTTTTCACATTTGTATCCCGCCCTCCCCAATGGGCTCAGGGCGGCTAACAAGGGCAAGGTAATTAGCCGTGCCATAATTAAAACATATAAAACAGAATAAAAACATCCAACACTTAAAAACAGCAGTGCTCAATCAATTACAGATATCAAAAAATCCAAGATGGAATCAACACAGTTCCAGGTGGTACTCCCATGATATTTGTGCCCAATGGCAACGGCTTATTGGATCTTCTTTTTGAATAAAGAACTAAAATAGAGCAAGGTACAGGAATTAAGACTTAAACAAATCTAACACTACAAATCTGAAGTATTATGAAATAAATCTGAAAATATCTAACACTGTAAAATCTGGGGCATGTGATGATTCAGAGTTACTGCAAACTCCACATCATTCCCTCCATTTCAAATCTGAAAAGAGTTGGATCACTAGATACTATGACAATCTTCCTCTGGCCCCTGAGCCTTACTTACAAACTTGCATCTACTAATTCAGGCCCAGTTCTTATTGAAGTTGTAAAATTATTTCCCAGCTTTACCATTTTTGGAATGTAGCAGAGAGCTAAGAAAATCCTTTTGGGGGGCAAGATTCCAGCCTAGCCTTTTCCCTAACATGCTAATGTTCTATCAGCAGGGATTTTCTTTTTGTATGTGGGAGCATTCAGTCTGTAGTCGAAAGTGCAGACACGGGTTTACCACCTCGCAAAAACTAAGCATTAGTTGTCAAAAAAGAGATTTAGCGGCTGTAGATTTTCTGGGTTGTGTAGCTGTGGTCTTGGCATTGTAGGTTCTACAATGCTGAGACCACGGCCACACAACCCAGAAAATCTACAGCATCTAATGAACTCCGGCCGTGAAAGCCTTCGACAAGATCAAAAAGAGAGTGTTTCATTTATTCTGAGCTTCTTCTTTTGTCAGCCACCAGTGTGACTACTAAGACCTCTTTGTGCGGTTGTTACCACCTTTGCAACTGCTCCCATGGTGACCTTCATAGAAGTAAAAATTGGTGTGTGATTCTCCATGACAGTGTTTATAGAACAGGTGGCACATCTCTCAAAGAACTGGGATTCAACTCCAAGTTGGGTAAACTTGCTGACAGGAAGGATCACATGGTCAGAAGTTCTGCAAAAAATGAGATGGGCACAACAGCAACTGCTCAAGCAACAACAACCGTGTCTTTATGCATTCCAGTTGCACTGGAAAAAATCCTTTATGTAGAATCCAACTGAGGTGATGACAGAAACACACTGGTATCCGTGTCTGCAATGGCCATCTAAGACCCTGATTCAGTAACCACTTGTTTGTATCTTTCGACAACGAACCCTTTCCTGATGGCATTCCACACAGCTGCAGAGTGCCTTGAATATTAGAAAGTTGTCAGTTTGCTCTATATGCAATTTTCTTTTGCATTATTTCATTAGGGGATCTGTTAAAAAACAACACCCTATGTGTATCCTTTTGTGTTACTCCTTCTGTGATGCACCTTAAGCCAGTTATTCATGGAGACAGGTAGTAGCTGATACTTTGAGAGAGAAGCAACCTGGTTGGATGTCTTCCCAAAACTGAAATGGAAAGCAGCACAGAAAGCTCCACAGGACTTACGCAGCTCATCAAAATGCGTGTCTGCACCCTCCGGGCAAGGAACTGAACACACCAGTCTTGCTTTCAGGAATGTTGTCCACTTGTTTATCAGGCTACGCTGCCCTCCCATGTCATTCTATTTAAAAAGAAGACAACAACTTCCATTAGGCTCCAGGGCAACTTGCCTATGCAACTTAAAATAGTTCTTTTTATTAATCCTTTGGCTACTCAGGAAGACAAAAGAAACTGCAAAGAACATCCATTTTCCTGAAATGCTGTTTCAAGTATAGACTGTCTGTAACAAACTTATCAACCTGTTATGGTTATGTTTTATTGAGCTATGTGCATTGTAAAAAAGTATAAAAATAAAATAATAAAAAAAAGTATCAACTGCAAAGTACAGTGGCTGTTCATCAAAAGTCTCAGGGCCACATCTGGCCCTGCTGGACATCTCAGTTACAAAAGCTAGGTAGGAAAACATATAAACAAGAAACGTAAGAAAAGAATAAAACATTTTTCTTTATACAAGGTTAATACTATCATGTGATAACTAGTGTGTGTATGTGTATATATATGTATATAAATTGTGTTTTGGTCATGGACTCTCCTGAACATTCCACACGCTCCCAAATCAGTTGAGTCCCTGATCTGTCACTCAGAAGCTGTCCCTATCTACTGGCTGCATTGCCTGAGTCTTGCCGCCAGTATTCTAAACAGTTTGCTGTTCCTCTCCCCCCAATAGCCAGTTGATACACAGAGGTCATTTGCATATGCGGCCTGATTGGCCTTTGCCTCTAACATTCTAAACAGATTGCTGTTGCGAGTCCTGAGGTAAATGTGTCCTGAGGTAAAATACATATCCCAATTTTCCCTTAAACGGTCACTGGAGTTGCCAAAATACATATCCTAATCTTCCCTTAAATGGTCACTGGAGTTGCCAATCTCCCTGTGGGACCTGGAGATCTCCCAGAAATCACTGTGTTCCCCAGCCACAGCACATCATTTTCCCTATCCCCAGGCTCTACCCCTCAAATCTACAGGTCTGGCCCTCCCCTTAGTATTGTCAGCCTCCAGGCAGCACCTGGAGATCTCCAAGATCAGTTCTCCTGGAGAGAATGGCTGCTTTGGGCAATGGACTCTGTGGAATTATACCCTGTTGAGGTCCCTCCACACCACAAACCCTGCCCTCCCCAGGCTCTACCCCTCAAATCTACAGGTTGGGCCCTCCCCTTAGTATTGCCAGCCTCCAGGCAGCACCTGGAGATCTCTAAGGTCAGTTCTCCTGGAGAAAATGGCTGCTTTGGTCAATGGACTCTGGCATTATACCCTGCTGAGGTTCCTCCACACCCCAAACCCTGCCCTCTCCAGGCTCTACCCCTCTAATCTACAGGTATTTCCCAACCCAGAGTTGGCAACCCTGTAACTGCCTATGGAACTGCTTTCCAGACCCTTGGAACTCAGAAGACATGGCATAGGAGGAGGTGCTTTTCTACCTTAGCTGCCACTGCATAACCCCAAATCAACATAAGTCAGGGGTGGCGGGAGCCATACCTGTTACCATCGGGCTGTCCTCCCATACTACCCACTTGGGGCAGCAAAATGACTTGAGACAGTCCTGCCTTATAGCTAAGCAGAAGAAAATAAATGGGACACGGCCCACCAAGCCTTCTCCCGCTCCCCCCAACGGTGGCAGCGAGGCCTGAGTGGCCCACAGTTGCCAGCTGCCAAGGCTTCTCCTGCACTTCTCTTTCCAGCAGTGGCCGGAAGGCTTGAGTGGCCCACAGCCACCAGACCGCCAATCCTACTCCCGCCCCCCTCCCCGGCAGTGGCAAGACAGTTGCCAGGGCATTTTCTGTGCATGTGCAGGGAACACTTTTTTTTACTTTTGGGGGGGATTTAAGTATCCCCAGTATAGTTTTTTAAAAAGACTTTTCAGATTTTTCTGCACACCTGAGGATTGCCCCAAGTGTGCTGGAAAATCTCTCTGCCCCCCCCCAAGTGCCACCTCTGTGCAGATTTAGATATCCCCACAGAAGGGGCCTCTTGGCTATTAGTATATAGATGGTTTGGAGTATTAATCAATTTCAGTTTCCTTATAATTCCACTAACAGCTTTATCTAATCTATGTAGTATGTCTGTAGTAATTATAAAAGTAGTTCTTCCAAACATTTATAATACATAGCCATTAAGCCATCTGGAGATTTCCAGACAACCAAGATCAGTTCCCCTGGAGAACATGGATGCTTTGGAGGGTGGACTCTATGGCATTATGTCCTGCTGAGGTCCCTCCCCTCCCCAAATCCCACCCCCAAGCTATCCAACTATTTCCCAACCTGGAGCTGACAACCCTAGCTTGGGGGCAAAGAGAAAGAGAAAGAAGGGGGTATTGGGTTGGGGAGAGAAAGAAAGGGAAAGAAGGGGAGGGGGAAAGCAAAGGTGGGAGAATACCCCCTCCCTGCATTTTTTGGGGGTCCCCACTTCTGCAAGCCCCCTTCCTTCCCCTCCCACTATATCACACTTAACCTTTTAAATGCCAGGGTGGTGATACCAGCTGCAGTGGTCTCTGATACACAGGGTTGCTTTGAGCATTTTACTGCTATGCCCAGTAATTCCCACCCCCTGCAGTCTGTGGGAGATACTCTGTGATGCCCCCTTAATGTCTTCCATATCCCTTAGCCTTATAGGGATATAAAACAAACCACAACACAAAATGCAACATTTTGTTGCGGGTCCCCTCTTGTAGGGTGACTGTTGTGGGGAAACAAAGGGAAGGCGATTGTAAGCCTCCTTCGGGTAGTGAAGAGCAGAACACTCTTCTTCCTTGTTGTTCTCTTCTGCATTCTGCCCACATCCTCTTTGAAGTGAGGCCTATAGAACTGCACACAGTACTCCAGGTGCAGCCCGACCAATGTGGAAGACAGTGGGACTATGACATCTTGCAATCTGGATATTGAGATGCCCCAAGACCACATCACCCTTTTCTGGCACTGTATCACACTGACTGTTCATATATAACTTACAGTCCTCCTTTACTCCAAAATCTTATTCATACACACTGCTACCCAGAAGTGTAACCCAAATCCAGTATGTATTTTGTTTTGTTTTGTTACCCAGATGTAAAACTTGAGACTTATCCTTGTTGAATTGCAACCCTATCTCTTTCCCAGCCAATTGTCAACCTACCTTTATTTCCCCCTCACTCTTCAGCTTTCCATCCCCCACACACCTGCAGCCTTTCCCGTGCTCTGAAGCCCTGACTGCTATTTCACATTGGCTGTCACACCTCAGCAGCATATAAGGATACAGAGCCCACCATTTTCTCCAGGGGAACTGATCTCTGCCATCTGGAAAGCAGTTGTAATTCTGAGTGATCTCCAGCCCTCACCTGGAGATTGGACCCATTTTACCTCAGAACAGCAAACTGTTTAGAATGTTAGAGGCAAAAGCCAATCAAGTCGCACATGCAAAATGACCTCTGTGTTCCGAGGCAAAGGCCAATGAGGCTGCATATGCAAATAACCTCTGTGTTCTGACTGGCTATGGGGGGAAGAGGAACAGCAAACTGTTTAGAATGTTGGAGGTGAGACTCAAGCAATGCAGCCAGTGGATAGGGACAGATTCTGAGTGACACACCAGGTCGCCAACTAATTCCGAAGTGTGTGGAATGTTCTAGAGAAGTGCCACCACCATTTGGCTTTTATATATAAGGGAGATGATATTTTGATCTCATATCAAAGAATTTTGGTATAGGAAGATAATATTTTATAATGGAAACAGCGATTGAAGAAATGTAAAAGAAATGCTGACTGAAAAAGCCTCGGGAAACAGCCTTTGTTTGAACTATGTGTCAGAGAGTCTTTATGCTTCTCATTGGTGGCCTGCCTCAGAGACTTCCTATTGTGTCTTTAGAGCAGCAAATTTTCCCACACCAGGTACATAGAATTATACAGTGAGTTAGAAAATGCTTTCACATCATATCTGGAAGTTTCCCCCAAATTGTTTTTGGAGTTGTGCCAAGTTAGGAAATCTAAGCACACAAGTTTCAGGAAATGTTTCCTGTACGATTCCTATGAACGACAGCTGAATTTAGAAATCAGAGGAGAGAACAAAAATCAGACTAAATCCACCAAGGTCCTTCTCTACTGAAATGAATGGGGTTGGGGGGGGGGGTGTCACAGAACAATGGTTGCTGCAGTTCAAAGTCTGTCATTTTTAAATTATTGTAATTCTAGAAAAATGTTTTTTTTGGTTTTTTGCCCCCTGAAGGGGATTTTTTAAATTTGCCTTTCTAAAATAACTACATAACTATAACGAAAAAAAGGAAGGGGGAAGACTACAGACTAAGGGAGACAGAAAAGAAGGCACTAAGTGTAGAAGGTTACATATGCTTATAGATACAAAGTTGTAACTCTTAACAATTAACTTCCGACATGAGAAGTTTCGTTGTTCATCGCTTCAAGTTAAAATCCATCTTATCTGTCTAGACAGAGAATAGTTTCAAAGCTAATTAAGAAGTATAGAGATCTTAAAAGACATTGACATCTCCCATTACGCTTTCCCTCCCTCCCCACAAACATGACATTGTGGAGCCTAGATTCTCTCAGTCCATACAGTCATCTCAATTAATCCTCTTCCTTCTCTGTTGATTCTTTTTTCATAAACAGAGAACTTACATTGCATGTAGTGCATCCCAAACTTAATCCCTGACATCTCCAGCTAAAGGATTTCAGGTACTGGGGAAGACCTTTCTCCGAAGAAGACCATGGAGAACCACTGTCAGTCAAAGTAGACTACAGTAAACTAGATGGACTGAAGGTTTGACTTAGTATAAGGCAGCCTAATGTGTTCATCTGCAAAAGTGTGTGCTTCTGCTTCGAGCTACAGAGGGCTCAGCTCAGTGAAAGGGCCTATGAGCAATACACAGAAGGAGCCCTTACTTTATCCTGGAAAGGATAAGACTGGAATCTAATTTTTATGTGGCAGACCTGACCACCCCCGAGACTTTTGACAGCTATCAGTCAGGGACACTGCACCATAATTCTCCATGTAGACATGGCAGTGCCACTGCTGCTTCCACTGCACGATCTACATCAAACCCAGTATCCAAGTCAGATCAGGTCTGAGAGATTTTATCAT